CTCCCCCGGGGTGCCCAGGCCCTCACCGGGATCTGGATCATGAAGGGCCGGTGCAGCCGGAGCGCGTATGCTGCGTTGAACACATCCACCACCTGCTCCTCCTCCAGCTGCTGCAGCAGCCTCAAAAGGGCCACAAAGGTGCCTGTCCGGCCAACACCCGCGCTGCAGGGACAGCCCCTGCGGAGCTGAGTTGGGGAGCCGCCTGTGTCCCCACTGTGCCCCTACTCGAGGCCAGGCAGGGGTCCTCTGCAGCCCCTCTGCCACCCTCACCGGCAGTGCACCAGGATGGGCCCGGTGCCCTGGGTGGCCCTCACCTGCTCCCGTACGAGCTCCACAAAGGTGAGCAGGGAGCCAGGGCCCTCGGGGACACTGTGGTCGGGCCAGGTGGTGAACTGCAGCTGCCTCACCCTCCGCTGTTTGTGCTGGGCATCCTGAAGGAAGGGTGGGCAGGAGGGTAGGGCTGCGCTACTGCACTGTGACTTCCTACCCTCAACGTGCCCAGAAGCTGAGGGCAGGGGTGAGGCCCCCTTGGACGGAGTGTCCCCCACCAGAGTCCCTGTACCTGTCCAGCCTCCTGGGTCACCTCTGCCTGCAGGGGGCGCCCGGGAGGGGGTAACTCCTGTCCCTGGCCTCCCTGCCCCAGGGGTCACAGCCCTCTTGGGCAGCCCAGGGCTGTGGGGGGGGCAGCCCTTCACCTCTCTACCCAACCCCAGCTCCTCAGGGCTGGTGGAGCACAGTGACCTGCAGCAGGAAGGGGCCGTGAGGGCCCTGCGCCCGCCCCGCCCGCCCTGTCCCCTGGGCACACACGTGCTGCAGCCGGAATTCCTTCTCGGTCCACTCCTCCCCGGGCTCCTCAGCCAGGAGGTGGATGGTGATGCGGCCGAGGGTGACGGGGGTGGTGCAGGCCGGCCAGTAAGGCTCACACAGCACCTAGGACGAGGGCAGAGAGGGAGAGTGGCTGTGGGTCTGGCCCCGTCACTGCCACCCCTGCTGTGTCCATCCCAGCTCTGCTCGCCCATCTTTCGGTGCCTGCCACTCTGAAGAAATTCTGCTCCTTGTACCCCCCAGCTCTGAGGCCACCTCCTGCAGAAGTCCCCCCTCCCTGGACCCTCGTGTGGCCAGGGGAACTCTGCGTCAGTGACAGGCTCCTTTGTGACACTGGTGGCCCCCATCCAGGAGGTCTCTGCCTTTGCCTTGCTTCCCCAGCGGAAGGACAGACTTGGCAGCCTCTCTCGGTCTGTACAGAGCCAGAAACACAGGAGGTGCCCCAGCCTCACGGAGAGGAAGGTGGCCAAGTCCCTAAGTCAAGCCAGGAGCTTATGTACCCGGTCGCTCCCCCTGTTCCCCACCTCCGGTGACTCTGGGGGACCCCCCACTCACCCACCCCCAGGCCTGACCGGCCTCCTCACTCCTGTCTGCCCACATTCCCGCAGAAGATAGAAAAGGGGCCATCCCTACAAGGAGGACGTGGGGCCCCTGCCGGCCATGCCAGGAAACCACAGGGCGCGCTCACCCTCCCGTTCTCCATGCCCACGGTCAACATGACGATGGTGTGGACCTGCTGCTCCCACACCAGCCGCCAGAAGTATTCCAGTATCTTCTTGAGAGGACCCTGGGTGGCAATGTACTCTCGTGGGTGAGTGTAGCCCTAAGGAGCAGGGTGGAGGGCGGGAACACATTTAACAGGTGAGTCTTGGCCCCTTGGCCCCACTAAACATGCGGCAGGAGTCGTGACTCTGTGTGGCCCCCAGGAGCGAAGAGGTTGTGTACATGCCTACGCGTGCACAAACACATGAACACGCGCATACACCAAGTGCTCACAAGGGACAGGTGACTTCGGGGACACTAGCACCACCCACTACCCTACATGAAAGTAACAGGACACAGGCATAGAAACAGCCTTACCCCGTGCACCCTCGCCACCAAACCTAGTGACCTTCTAAAACCTAACCCTACCTCTCTTCCATGTTCAAAAACCTGCCATGGCTCCCCACTGCCCACCAAATAGAATCCAGAGCCCTCAGACTAACACCCAAGGTCCCTCTTCATCCAACCCCACTCTGACTTTCCATCCCCCAACCCTCAACACACCTATATACACTCCATTAGCACCGTACACCTGCTGCGCGCACGAACACACACACACACACACACATAGTCTGTAATTCCTGCCTGGCTATTTTCCATCTGGCTGGAATGATGTCCTGTTCTCTTTTATCTCTTATCAAAATGCAACTCGTCCTTCAAGAGATCAAGTGCCCCCTCCTCTGGGAAGTCATTCTTGCTTCCTCGGGTGGACCAAACTTGTCCTGTGAGCTCTGAGCACAGTGCTTGCTCCCCTACCCAGCACTTGTCACACACACCACGTGCTCTTTCCTTGCAAGGCATGGATGTGGCTGGCTTTGTCCTGTCCTGGGGCCCAGCACAGAGCCTAGCACACCGGCAGACCCTCAAACCGCCCACGGCTTCACGCATGGCTGCTACAGTGGGGCAGGACATCGTGTCCTGTGGGCCGGCACATGTCCCGCACAGGCTCCCCAGGCAGCCCCGCTGCGGCCCTTACTGGGATGAAGCTGGCATTGATGTAGTCGGAATGGGGCTTTCCCTCCAGCTGGGCCAGCCTGACCCTGGAGTGGTCATCTGCAGAGGGCAGAAGCCGTGTGTCCGGGGTCCTCCTCCAGGCCGAGCGCTGGCCCTCCGCCCAGGCCTGTCCCGCCCTTCCGCTCACAGGGCAGCACATGTGGGTAACGGTTTTTAGTGCTATTGGCAGGGTGCTTGGCCTCCAGTCCGGGCTGCTCCCTGCCCACCTCCTTCAGTTCCTGTAGTGATCGAGGCAGGCACTGGTTACAGAAATGCAGCAGTTGCGGGGTGGGCATGGTGACTGTGGGTCCAGCCCAGCCTAGAGGGCCTCTGGTCCTCCCTCCCGAACCTGTGGGCAGACCAGGCCTTACCTCAAACTCTTGAAAGCAAGCCTGGTGTGCGTGCGCACTCGGCCTCAAAGCTCTGCCGGAAGCTGTGCGTGGGGATGGGCCGGTGGGTCCACCTGGTGGGAGAGGGAGGCGACAGGTGCAGAGCCGGCTGCACAACCCGATCCCAGGGAGGGATCTGTGGCGAATGCAGGTCCCGAGTGTAGCCACCTGTTTTTCAGCGAGATCCTCCTGTGTCCAGCCTGGGCAGCGAACCAACATGGGAAGATGGAAGAGGAGGGCAGAGAGGGAGAGGAGGCAGGAGACAGCAGCTACACAGGCATACACGTGTAAGTGTGACCCCTCCCTACATGGCCGGTGTTCAGTTAAGGTCAAGTCAACAGGAAGCCAATATGGGAAAGGAGATTTAGCCTAGTATAATACATGCAGTTAGTCCAAGCCAGCAGGGTTGGCAGTAGGTGGCCGTAGTGGTTCTGTCTCGTGTCAACGTGATATCCAGAGCCATGGTATCCAGATATTTGATCAAACACTATTCTGGGGGCCAGGGATTTAGCTCAGTGGTACCACAGCCTACCTTGCAAGTGTAAGGGACCTGAGTTCAATCCCTAGTACAAAAAAAAAAACAAACTGACCTCTCCTGGGGAGGAAGGAATCCTGTCAGCAGAAACCTTCCAATGCTCCCCTGAGGTCAGCTGCCTACCCTATCAGAGTTTGGATCCCACAATCACACAGCCATTTTTTTCCCCCAGTACTAGGGCTTGAACCCAGAGCCTTGTGCATGCTAGGCGAGCTGTTTACCACTTATACCTCCAGTGCTCCGGAAATCCGTTTTACTGTGAGTTTGGAGGAGAAAGGAGAGTCTGCCTGTGCAGTGGGAGGTGAGGAGGCCAGCAAAGACTTGGAGCCCCTCTCTGGGCGCGGTCAGAGGAAGAGGCTGCCTGGGGAACCTTGGCAATGCCACTGTGACCCTGCACAGCGCGGCCATGCTGCTGCCACCCAGGAGGGAGCATACGAAGGAACACTCACCGCAGGCCAGGAGATGTCAGCTCGGGGGAGGAGCTGTCCTTCGGCCTGCTGAGGAGAGGCAGAGAGGCTTGTGGAAGGCAGCCCCAGGGCTCTTCACTGGCTCCCCTGGTCATAGGGCTCTCCCCAAGGCCCCTCTACTCACCTCTGTCCCTTCACCTGCTGCCAGCCCAGTAGGCCCGGCACGGCACAGACAGTGAGAGCGCAGCCCACCATGATGACCACCACGGCTGGCAGGGGCACCGCTGCAAGGGGGGCACTGGCCCTGGGCTCTGTGGAGGACCAGGAAGGGTGTAGCACGGCAGCCTTGTTCCCCTGGCCCTGCAGTCCGTGCCAGCCTCTCCTGGACTTGGGGCCTCCAGGTGGAGAGCACAGTGACAGCCCTCTGTGCCCCCAGAAGCCCTAGAGGCAGCATGAGGCCAGAAGTGGCCAAGTTGAGAACTAAGAACATACGGCGAGGATGCTAATGGCCCTCCCCTCCCTGACACCCTCAAAAGGATCAGGAAAAGGCCTAGCTTCCTGGACCTTCTAGAGCAATGTCTTCTTCCACATGGACAGGGTCTCGCTACGTAGATCAGGCTGGCCTTGAACTCACTATGTAGCACAGACTAGCCTCGAACTCAAACTGAACCTCCCGTCTCAGCCTCCTGAGTGCTGGGATTACAGGCATGGGCCACCATACCCCACTCAGTTTTGTTTGTTGGCTTTCTTTCATTTTGTGGCACTGAGGATAGAACCCAGGGTCTCACGCACGCCAGGTAAGCCCTCAACTGCTGAGTTACACCCCAGCTATCTTTTTACTTTTCCAGCATAGCTACTAGGAGGTTCCAGATTACACTAGGGGTTTACTTGGCATTGGCGAGTGGCCGTGTGTTCCTGACCGGTGCTGGTTCAGAAGCTCAGTGACCAGGAGCAGTGGGCTCAAAGGACAGTGCAGGAGGCCTGGGGCCGTGGACAGCAGCTCCTCAGGGCTCTGTCATTCCTGTCACCCAGGCCTCCTCATCAGCGACTCTGGGCCTCAGCTCCGCTAGGTGGCGCATGATGTCCCGGGAGCTGGGCTCAGCCCCTCACTGCAGCCTGTGTCTGAGCCTCAGAACCAGAACCCAGCCCCAGACTTCTCCCCACCTCCGTGCCACAGGAACCCCAGCCAGGTGCCTGCCCTACCTGAGAAGGCTGAGAAGGAGATGACGGTGTCGGGGGCGCTGGGCCTGGTAAAGGCGGCGACACTGAACCTGGGGCAGAGCAGCAGGATGTTCTGTCGGGAAAGGGCAGCCTATGAGGCTAAGCCCCTCCAGGGAAACAGGCCCCGCAGCCGTGCTCAGTGAGCACTAGCTCCCTCCGCTAAGTAGAGGCTGTGCGTCCATTCCCTGCCACTGGTGAGACCACCACCAGCTTCTCCACCACCTTCCTGCCCTGGTCCTCAGGAGAGCAGGAAGAAGCCTAGGAAGGAGGCACCTGGACCACCTTAACTCTGCCCTCATGTGCCCAAACAGAACACATCTCTGGGTCCTCTTTGAAAGAAGATCCATGTAACAGATGGGTGTTCCTTTTTTTGCCTTGCCTGCCAGGAAACCCAGTCAAAATATCTCTGTTGGCCCTTACGGAGTAGCACACGCCTTCCTTCTGTGACTCCATCCAGATCTGCTGTTGGAAGAATGAATGAACAAGCCCTACAGGACTCTTAGACTGGCTCCCTCCCTATCCTGGGAACCTGGTTTCAGCTGCCCGTTACATAGCTCCTGAGTGAGGCCACAGTCCTCTGTGCCCACAGGCACTGTCCAGGATCTTGGCACCATCCAGGGCCCTGGACAGAAGGGGTTGGGAAGCAGGATGGCCAGGTAGGAGTCATGTCCTCCAAGCAGTGGTCATACCACGTGTGGCTGATGGCCTCCCGGGAAGGCCGCACCCCTGGGAGAGGAATGGGAGAAGTGGAGCGAGGTGGGCCGTGGGCTTGAGACCCCAGGCTCCGCCGCACGGGAGCCACCGTGTTTCCTAGCATGCTCCCTGCACTCAATCCAACGCCACTCCTACCCCCAAAAGCGCCCTGAGCTCCAGAGTCCCTCTCACGAGCCCACACTGGCAACTCCCAGGCCTCCCAGCCCCTTCCGGGCCTGGGACTCACATGACATGTTGGTAGTGGCAATGACCCCGTAGCACTGGATCTGCCCGTCGTCCTTGCCAAACATGCCCCGTGATCACCACCCCCATCCCACCTCGGGCTCCGCCAGCTGGGGGGCTGCAGCCAACTCCGGGGGGTGCCAGGCTGGGGACAGACAAGAGGAAAGTGCAGGCCTGTCAAGTCTCCCAGGACAGGGACCATGCCTTCCTGTGCCCAGCACCTCTTATAGCACCTGGCAGCAGATGGCTACTGGACATAACCGAGTGAGGACGGGAAGATTCGCTGGCCAGAGCCCCAGGGTGTGAAGTGTGTGTAAGGTATCAAACTAGCACCACGAGGGCCAGAGGAAAAGCAGGGAGAGCCCTGGAGCCAGGACCAGCGAGTGAGGGGCCCTGGGGAGCAGAGGGGGCCTGAGGTGCGGGAAAGTGCCTACCCTCCGCAGAAGTAGTGTACAGCAGGGTGACTGTCCGGCTCCACAGACCATTCCTGCCCAGCACCGTGAGGCTGAGGTGGTAGGACGTGGCAGGCGCCAGCCTGGACAATGTGAGAGCATCCTCGGAGGTGTTGGCCTGGAACATGAGGTGAGCATCCCCTCCTGCTGCCAGCTGCTCCACCACCACCAGGCAGGCGGCCACGTCCCCTGCAGGCTTTGTCCAATCCAAGGCTAAGTGGGTGGCATCGGGCTGGCACCGCACATCCTCCACGGGGCCAGGCTCTGTGGCACGAAAGGCACTGCTATGTGGGGCGTCAGCACACCCCAAGAGGATGGCATCGGGTTGGGGCGCTAAGGTACAAAGGGACTGGGCATCTGTGCTCAGGGAAAGGCATCAGCCACAGGGGACAAACAACTCTTTTGGGCATTGCTGCTCATCTGGAGGAGTCTAGAGGGTGTCACTCAGGGAAGGGGTGGGCACAACATCCGCCTGGAACGAGCAGGCAGCTCAGAACAGAATGGCAGTGCTGCCAGCCTGGACAGGGCCCTCCACGCTCCCCCAGAGACCACAGCGCACCGACAGGCAGCACCACGGGGTGGGTAGAAGCCTGGAGCGGCCCTGCCCAGCACAGCACCAGCAGAGAGAGACTGCAGCCCGGCGGGAGACCCCTCAGCATGAGGCGGGCTTGGCCCAGCTCCAGGGCCTGCTCCCATGACAGCTGCTCAGACTCCAAGAGCCGGGCATGGCACACACCCTGCCCGAAGGGGCCACTGGCCCAGGCCAGGCTGACCACAGCATTGTCCGCCTGCATGGACACCAATACCTCGTAGGGCATGCAGGGGGCTGTAGAGGGAAGTGCAAGAGGTCACCGGGCCACCGGCCTTGGTCCTGAGAGCCCTGGGCATGGTGCCAGGGGCTCACTGACCCACAAAGGACCCTCAGAGTGGAGGCGGGGTGGTAGGGGGTAAGATGCCACCGAAGGAGGCACCCAGGGGTCTCCAAGCAGCCCTTCCCACCTCTCCCCAACTCACTGCCTTCTTCCCAGGCCCCACTCACTGGTCCAGCCAGAAACATTGGCTGCTCGGGTGCGAAGGGGCCCAGCCCACACGCCAACCTCCACCTCATACTCAGTGCCTGGAGTCAGCATGGAAAAGCTTGTGCTGTTCACCTCTGCTCCCACGGTGCCCATGGCCACCTGGGCACCTGCCTGGTACAGGGTCACTTGGTAGCTGTCCCGGGCCCCAGAAGCATGAGTCCAGGATGCCCGGATCTGGGTGGGGCCTTCATTGGTCACATTCACCAGAGGAGGGGCGAGTGGGGCTGCAGGGAAGGCAAGGTATGGGGCATGGACAAGAGGAGAGGAAAGACTCTAAAGGAAACATGGAAACACCTGCCTCTTCTGGGCCTCCCACGGTCTCCTACTGCTGCCTCCACGCTGGGCCAAGTCAGGAAACACCCAGGATGGAGCCAGGGTTCAGGGCAGCCCATGACCCAGCCCGAAGCCAGGTCCATCAGCTGTCCCAGGGAGCAGGGCCCATGCTCCAATAGGGGTGAGTGGAGGAATTAGTCACATGCTATCCCCGTGCCACCACCCCTCCCGCAGTCAGAGCCGCGCTGGGCAGCAGGAAGTTTGAGCCATGGGCCTCTTCCCAGTCCCTGTGGCCAAGGAGCTTCTAAAGCAGCTCAGGTGGACAGACAGACAGGTGTCCGGGGCCCAGGCGGTGCCCTGCTGTCCTCAGAGTCTGAGCCCAGGACTCAGCCCCACCAGCCCAGCCCGGTCCCCTCTTCAATGCTCCTCTTTCTAGATGGGGACACTGAGGCTCAGGAGGACAAGCCTTGCTCTCCCCAGCTAGAATCCAGCTCTCCTGGCTCCATGGTGAGATGTTTTCCAGCTCTGTCCAGTGCTAAAGGACAGCAGTGGTGGCCCTGATGGGAGAGGGAAGGCCCAGGGTGGGGTGGAGGGTCCAAAGGACAAGGGCAGGGAGGCCCCTGTGGAGGACACTCACGTGTCCAGCCTGCGGCGTTGGCGCTGCTGTTCTCCTCCAGTCCCTGCAGGGCAGCCAGCCACACCAGGAACTTGGAGCCCCTGGGCAGCTGGGCCCAGGAGAAGTTCTGGGACTCTGGGCCCAAGGTCTCCTCACTGTCCAGAGCCAGGGGTTCAGGCTATAGAGCCTCAGCCGGAAACCATCCCTGCCACCTGGTGGGAGACTCCAGGAAGCCCTCAGCACAGGAGGCTTGACAGCAAGCCCAGGCTCAAATTGGCGGGTGGGGCAGGGGCTTGGAGGACAGGAGAAACACATTTAGAATGACTCCGGTTCCTCCCTCTTCTTTCCCAGACAAGGTCCAAAGCCTCCCACCCTAAAATTCCAGCTTCCATGGGGCTCAACACCCACTTTCCTGGGCTTTTCAGAGAAACTTCTTGCAGAGAAGCCTGCCCTGCCCGTACGCTGTCCCCATGGTACGGCGAGGGCATAGTCTGGTTTGCTGCACTTTTGTGAGCTCTGCTCCTGCTCTCTCACACCCCGCCCGGTCCCGCTCTCCAGCTCATCTGCTGCAACAGGTGTCAGTCTGTCCATCTGCCTCTGGGCTGTGGGCTCTGCTGCCTGCTAAAGCCCCCGCTCCTTGCTAAAGCCTTCTCCCAGCCCTCAGCTCACTCCCCTCCTCTGGGAAACCGGTTGTGACTCTAAGCAGGTGTCCCTTTTGTCCACAACATCAGACTGAACCACATACAACGCCTGACATTCAGCCATTTTAACCAACCCGAATGCAGTTTCATATGATTCAAGCTAATACATCATGCATGTTCCTACCAATACTAGACTTAGTGTGACACGTATGTAAGTCACATACATGACAGCTATAAACCACCTGTCAATCTTCCTGTCGGTCTTGTTCATAATTTTTGCCTAATACCTATGAGAGGAATTAATTAAATTTTTGCTGGAAGGAAAAGAAAACGGAAGGAAGGAGGAAAGAAAGGAAGAGAGGGAGGCATCATGCATGTTCCTACCAATACTAGACTTAGTGTGACACGTATGTAAGTCACATACATGACAGCTATAAACCACCTGTCAATCTTCCTGTCGGTCTTGTTCATAATTTTTGCCTAATACCTATGAGAGGAATTAATTAAATTTTTGCTGGAAGGAAAAGAAAACGGAAGGAAGGAGGAAAGAAAGGAAGAGAGGGAGGGGGAAAAGGGAGGGGGGACACAGGGACAAGTGGGTGAGTGCATGGCTAGCCAACCGCTTGGTAGGAGGTAGAAAATGTTCGCAAGGCATTCATAAAATGCCCCACCTTGGCCTCGTGGCCCTCAGAGTCCGGAGTATGGCGCACAGAGGGCAGAGAGTAGAGAAAACTGGTCCCCACCCAGTGCCCTGGGCTGGCTGGGCCAGGAACTCACAGGTACAGGCGCGGGTTCCCTGGATGCTGGAGCTGAGGTTCCCTGCCCAGGCCCACACAGACACACGGTAGCAGGAGCCAGGCACCAAGTCCCTCAGAGCCACGCTGGAATTGTCTGGGCCCAAGTCAACACGGCTGCCCAGGCCCTTCTGGCTGCCTTCCTGGTGCCAGGTGACTATGCAGCCTTTCTGTTGCCCTGGTGCTGGGGCCCAGCCAATGGTCAGACCAGACAGGCTGGCCCTGCTGGTGACCTCCAGGGACTGTGGCGCCAGAGGACCTGAAGAGAGGGCAGTTTAGTGAGGGGTCATATCGCGTCAGTGGCCCTGCAGTGCCCTCTGCATGCTGCTCACGGCCTCTCCCATGATGACTGCCGCCCCAAGCCAAGGCCTTCCAGCCTGAGTCCAGGGGACACAGTGGCTGGTACTCACGTGTGTGGCCTGTGATGCTCTGGGTGACGATGCCCAGAGATGAAGCAATGTCCACCCGGTAGCGGGCCCCGGGCACCAGCCCAAAGAAGGTGATGTGATTGGTACCAGAGGGCATGGAGATGTTTCCCAGGAGGCCTGAGTCACCATCGGCATAGAGCAGTGCCCACCTCCCAGGCTCCCTGGTGGCCTCCAGTCCGTCCAGCTCCAGCTTGGCACCAGGGCTCTACCTAGGTTGGGCCGCAGAATCTGGCGGGGAAAGCAGCCCCAGAGAATGAGAACTCACCTGCCTCCTAAGGCCGGTGGCCCTGAGCCCACTGGATCTGTCCAGCCCAGACTCACCATCCAGCCAGGCACTGGCCTGAGTGCAGGCATCATAGGGCCCGGCCAGAACCTCCAGCTCCAGACCATAGTGTCCAGAGGGCAGGGGCCCTGGGAATGTGGCATCACAGGCCTCAGGGCCCAGAGCGGCATTCTTCTCTATAGGCCCACTTAACTTCAGCACGTAGCCCTCTCGGGCTCCTGGCCCTGCCTTCCAGCTTGCCCAGAGTCTGGGAGGCACGGGAGTCAGCACCAGGTCCAGTGGGGCAGAGGGATCTGTGGAAAGGGGGCAAATGCTCCTGAAAGGCCTCAGCACCAGGTGAGACACAGGGACCAAGAGGAGGAGCAGAGCTATCGCTCTTTGCCACAGCTGCTTGCTACAGGTTGGGTCTCATCCAGACGTTAGTCTGGAAAGTTGTCCTATAAATAGTTTTCATAAATTTAGCAGGGACAAGGGGAAAAAATATCATGTAAAGGTACAAGATCCATTAATAAATCAATGTACCAATAAACTCAATTTAAATAAATAAATAAACGTATTTGCCACACCCCAGATGAACACCAGCATCTGGCAGCTGCCATGTGGCCATGGACAGCAATGGTGGAACACGGGCATATCTGTGTCTGCCAGCGAGGTTCTGAGGATCACACACACAGTACGAGACTCGTCCAGAGACCCAGAGCCAGCAGGTGGCGGAAGAGAAACTGAGAGCCCAGGCACTTGGCTTCTCCACTCTTTAACTATCCTACAGCGCAACCTCAGCTTCTTTCTCTGTGCACCTCAGTTCCCTCTGCTGTAACACGGGCTAACAGAGCCACACAGGGTTTGCTTGAGAAGTAAATGAAACCATACACAGAAAGTGCCAAGCACAGAGCCCACCCCAGAGAGAGGCTCAACTGCTGGAAACCATTCCTTCTGTCATCTTCTCAGGCGGCACCAGGCAGCTGCAGGGCACGCTCTCCCAGCCTCCGGAAGAGCGCCCCCCACAGCTGAATCTGAGCTTCTTGCCGGAGCAGAAGAACTGAGCAATCTCTGCTGTGTCCCCTTCCCCCCACTTACAGGTCCACTCCGTGGCACTGGGCCCCGTGGCCTCGTAGCGGGTCCCTCGGGACAGGTTGAGGAAGGTATGATTCAATACTCCTCGTTTGATGACTGCAGTCAGGTTAGAGCCACCCAGCAGGTCTGTGAGGACCAGGTGGAGCCAGGTGGCCTCCTCAGAGCTGTTCCAGGAGGCTTACAGGGCATTGGTGCCCAGAGCATGCAGCACCAGGTGATCTGGAGGCACAGGATCTGCAGAGAGGGTGCCAGAGCAAAGCAAAACTTGGGGAGGGCCCTGGAGCCAGGTGCTGGTGTGGATCCTAGGGATCCCCCCAAGAGCACAGCCATGCAGGGACCCAGATGCCTACAAGGCTGAGTGCACAATCTCTGCTATCGCTCCCAGACTGGCTGCCACCGGGGCCCTGCCAGGTACCCAGCTTACCTGTACACTGGTGGATGCTGGTCTTCGCCTGGAGACCACCAGACCAGGTAGTAACCTCTAAAACATAAATGGCACCTGGCAAGAGGTTGCCTAAATTATAGGACAGGATGTCTGGGGACACAGAGATGTTATGTGCCTGCGTTTGGGATCCTCGGTGGTAGAGGAGCAGCTGGTAGCTGTCCTTCTCCCCAGGGGCATCACCCCATGAGGCCTCCAGGCTGGCTGCGCTCCCGGAGCTGTGGAGCTGCAATCCGTGGACAGCAGATGGGGCTGCACCGAGGGAGAGAGAAGAACTAAGGTCAGTGTGGCGGGACCTCCCCCTCCGTGGTGATTCCTAATGGGCTCTCATACCAGACCTGCTTCTCTGAGAAGTTGTCCCCTGCAGCTACCCTGACCCCTGCCACCTCCTGCCTTGACCCCAGGCCTAGATCCTCTCCCTCACTCTCAGGCCTCGTACCCATGCGGGCAGTGAGGGTAACGGTGACATTCTGCCCACAGGATTGCAGGGAAGTCACTTGCAGCTGGCAGAGACTCCCTGGCACCAGGTTCTGGAACTCGAAGCTGGAATCACTCGTGTGGGCCTGGAGCTGCTGCCCGACTGGGGAGCCAAGTGAGCTCAGATGCGTGAGGCGGAGAGCATGGCCAAGCTCACCTGATTGTGCCTCTGCCCAGCTCAGGAGGAGGATGGCAGGCCTGCCCTGGCTGCTGACGTTCACGCTTAGGGATGGACCTACAGGAAAGGGGTACATTTAGTCTCCAGAATCTTCTGCCCTAAAGAACCATGGAAGGCCAAAAGGGGGTGCCAGAGCAGAAGCAGGGCCTGGCATGAGAAATTAGCCCTGTACACCCCCCCTCCTTACCCCAGAGGCCCCCCAGACACCTACCTCCACCTTCCCCGTCTGGGCACCTTTCCAGGGAGAGGCGTGCACCTTCCTGCAGGAAGGAGGAGAGGGGAGGAGGTGGGCAGAGCCCTCTGGCAGCCAGGCCTTTGGGACAGGCAGCAGAGGACAGACAGGAGGATCAAGAGACAGCTTCCCCAGAGCAGTTAAAGGGGAGTCTCCCAGAGTCAAGCCCAAGCTGTGAAAGGCAGCTGCTGGGCTGGAGCCTCTGCTCTCACTGTCCTGGGCAGGAAGGGAGCAGCCGCTGGGCACTGCAGAGAGGTGGGAGGGCTGGAGATGCCCTGGAGAGCAGGAGCCCAGCCCCAGGCACTGCCCCCCTTGCCCACCTTACCTCGGCCAAAAAACCCTGGAGCCAGAGGACAGCAGCAAACAGGATCAGGGGCCTCATCCCGGTGATGCCTGCGGAGGAGAAACTGGGAGGCAGCGGAGGAGGAGGCGGCCCCCCAGCCTGCCCCTTGCCCTGCTGGTTGGTGGGTAGGCAGATGGGCAAGGCTGGGAAGGGCAGTGTTTCAAGCAGATGCAGGCAGCAAAAGCTAGGGGTTGCTTCTGAAGCCCAGCCCCTGAGCGGGGCCCGCCTAGGCTTGGCACAGCTGAGTGAGGGGAGAGGCGGAGACTGGCGGTGGGCCCAGAAGGTAGAAGGGACTGCAACTCCCAGACTGCGGGCGGAGCCCACCTCCTTCAGTCCTCTCCCACCTCCACCCCACTTCAGCCGCTGGCCTTCAGGAAGGAGAACAGAGGAGCAACAGCCTTGCAAATGGACACATGGAAGGGAGCTGGCTAACTCCCCTCCCTGGCCCCGGAAGAGGGGCTCAGTGGTAGACAGATGTCCAAGTTCCACAGGGGCGGGGAGGGGTCTGCCATGCTGTATGGCTGTGTCCTGAGCTTGGTGTGGACGGCGCATTCCCTCTGAGCATCCGCAGGGCAGCGTGCTCTCATGGACACAGGCATGAAAGAACTGGGACCTGGGACTTCGGACCACAGAGCACAAATGGCAAAGCAGCCCTCTCTTATCGGAACCCTCCAGGTGGCAGAGCTCCAGGGTGTCTGCTTGGCCCCCACACTCCCTCCAAGTGATCCTTGCCCATCCTGCCCCCCCACCAGGCTCCAGGGGTCCATCTGCACCTCAGATATGTGGAACTCAGACTAGGCCTTACCCCACCTGGAGCCAGCTGCTCACCTGGCGCTGCACACTCAGGTGCTCCCACGCCACGTCAGCCGGTGGGAGGCAGGGGAAACGCTCCACTCTGGGCCCTGGGAAGGAAGCCCAGGACTCAGCAGCTCAGGAAGGGAGTGTGCACAGGAAACAGACAGGTGCAGAGACTGAACAGCAGGCCCAGACTCCCCCAGACCCACCCGGCAGGGCGGGCAGCTGCGTCAGAGCCAGCCCAGCCTGGAGCCCACTCAGGCCAGTGCCAGGGGCCGCCGCCCTCCCCCACCAGCCAGCCCCAAACCTCAGAGCCGCCCACCCGGCCCTGGATGGGGGCCTGGAAACTCAGCACTGCAGACTCATCAGATTTTCCGGGCTGCGCGCACACGTGTGTGTGTGTGTGTGTGTGTGTGTGTGTGTGTGTGTGTGTACAGGCACGCGTGTGCTCT